GTACTGTATGTGTGGAGCCCCTCTCTAGCACCAGAGTGAATATGGCATGGAAGGGCTCAATAGAGGACGTAACAGTCTGGGTGAACCCGTGAGGGCACGTGACTGGACGAGGTGGTAACGAGGGCCAAAGAGGAGGTGAGAGGGACACGTGATGTGGGCCCTGAGTCTCCGAGAAGGAGCTGGAAAGGGGCGTGGCCAAGGGCTGGGCCTGGCCACACCGGAGTGGATAAAGGCCGAGTCCCGAGAGTGATCACGGCGGTTCATCTCTGGGAAGAAATCCTCCGTCTTCGAGCCTGGGTTCTCGGTCTCGCGCACGTGGAACAGGCAGCGTGTTCGCTGTCCTGATCCGACTTAGTAATTATCCCGTCCAGTGTGTAGATAGTCAGCCGTGGTGGTCACCACCCTAAGTCATTATACTCTTAATGTTAATCTGTGGTTTTAGTTAATAAACGTGTTGCCTCCAAGATCAAGAGTAAGCCTCAATTGAACCCACTCCACATATGCAGGGAGACCGAGTAGGAGAGAGTTATAGTAGTCTAACCGAGGGAAGATGAGTGAGTGTATTAGTAGTTTGGCAGTGGATTGAGTGATGAGAGGGCATATTTTGTGAATGCTGACAAGGTGGAAACGACAGGTGCGGGTGATGGCGGAGATGTGAGAGGGGAGGGAAAGGGAGGAGTCAAAGAGGATACCAAGGTTGTGGGCATAGGGGAAAGGGGTGAGTGAGAAGGGTGTGAAGGTGATGGTGTGGGTGGGTGAAGGAAAAAGAGCAGCGGGGAAAAATATAACCTGGGTTTTAGAGGGGTTGATGGCAAGGAAGTGAAGCGACATCCAAGACTGAAGGGCAGTTAAGCAGGCTGAAAAGCGAGAAGAGAGGTCCGGAGTTAAAGTGGAGAAAGAGAAGAACGTTTGGATGTCGTTGGTGAAGAAGTGGTGGGAGAAGTTAAAGGAGGAGATAAGTGTTTCGAGAGGGGAGATGTAGAGAGAGAAGAGAAGGGAGCCCAGGATAGAACCTTGGGGAACACCTGCTGTGACGGGTGAAGTAGCGCTGCAGAAGTGATTGAAGGAGACCAAGGATGAGCATGAATGGCCAGGAGTAAGTAGGGAAGGATAGCGGGTAGAAGGGAAGTAGGGATCGGGTCAACGGGTGAGGTGGTGAGATGGACTTTGGAGATGGTAACGGAGAGGTCCGCTAGACTCACGGGGGGGATATTGGTGAAGGCAGACGGAGTCGGGTGTTGGTGCGCAGCTAAGGATGGAAGGGTCTGGATGGGATACGGGGAAGCTTAGAAAGAGGAGCGAATGGCATACGTTTTGGAGAGAAGAAAAGAGCAAAGTCAGTAGCAGAGATGCCAGTGGAAAGGGCGGGGAGGAGTTGGGGAGAAGTGTGCAGAGGTTATTAAGGGTAGAGAAGAGTAGGAGGGGATGAGAGGAAAGGGAGTAATGTGTTAATGTGTTGATGGTGGAGTGAAAGATGGCAGAGGCAGCATCTGGGTGGAGGGAGGAAAAAGAGGGCAAGGAAGGCAGAGAGATTGGGGATGCGGAGTCTCTAGTGAGCAGAGATCGTGGGAAAGAAAGTGGTGGGGTAGGATGGGGCTGGTAAGGGGTGGAATGGGTAAGGTGATGGTGAGAGAGAGGAGGAAGTAGTCCGATGGAGGGTGGGGGACGGATACAATGGGGGAAGCCTACCAATCTGATATAAAGATGAGGTCGAGGGTGCTGCCAGAGGTGTGAGTAGGGGGCGAGGGAAGGAGATAGAGATCGAAGGAGTTAGTGAGGGGAAGGAGGGTCGGGGCAATGTAGAGAAGACTAAGATCCAGACTTAAATCACCTTGAAGAATAAAAGGGTGTGGGAGAGGGAGGACAGTGGAAAGAAGACAGTCGAGGTGGTCAAGGATAGAGGGACTGGGGGGACAATAGATGATGAGGAAGGTGATAGAGTGGGGGGAGTAGAAGGAGGATAATTGGTGTTAAAATGAGGGAAGGACAGGATAGAGGGGAGTGTAGGCGCAGGGGTTCAGGATGGAGGATTGAGCAAGGATATGCCTCCAGCTTTGCCCACCCAACGAGGGGTGTGGGAAAGGAGGAGGCAGAGGATGAAAGGGCGGCAGGGGTGGTGGTGTTTAATGGGGCGATCCAGGTTTCTGTGATAGCGAGGGCGGTGAATTTAAGGGAGAGAAAAGCATCCAAGGTGGAGGCAGATTTATTGCACACGGAATGAGAGTTCCAGAGGCCTAATTTGAGGGAAAAATCAGCGGATGGCGGGGTCGGAGGGAGTGCAGGTGTATGTTGAACTTCTTTTGCACCGTATGTAGCCAACCGTGCTAATTGGAGGTGAGGGGGAAGGACAGTAAACTAAACACAAAAAGCATTTCCAAAGAAATTAGTTTTCAATTTAGATTTGAAAGCGCAAAGCTCCAGTGGCTTCCTAATATCGGCAGGAAGAGCATTCCAGAATGCCGCAGAAGTACATCTGAAAGCGTGCGATGCGGTGACCATATTTGTTTGATGGTTCACCAAAAGCTGCTGTGAGGATGGCCGGAATTTGCGTGATGGTGTATGTTCCTTTAAGAGACTAGAAAGGTATTATGGTTAATTTCTGGTTAACACTTTGTGTGTAATGAGCTGTTCCCCTGCACTTGACTCGTTGTTTCCTACAGGTTTAATGGCATTAGGATGCCAATTGATATTATTTTTCTGGACACATAGGCCTGATGCTGTAGGCCGAAACACCTCTGCGGTGTCCAGGATTGCTTACAAGTCTGAAATACATCATTTGAACCAGGCTGGGAGGCACAGTTTTAAGGACAATTAAAAAAGAAAAATTCCCCACTCCCATTTGTGCATTATTATTTAAGCAAACAAGTGGTAGTCAAACATTATAAACTTACGAAAATAAATATTTCAGCGTTGTCGTGCCTGTCTCGAGTTAGGCAATAATAGAAGATTTATGTTTTATTATTTTACGGTGGAAAAGCACATCGCGATTTACAGTCGCGTATCCATTAACCACAAATATTTCGCTCACGGCCGCCGGGTAGGGCGGGCGGTGCTGCTGCAGCTCAGCGATAATGCTCTCGCACGTCAACCATAAAACACTCCTGTATGCATCAGGCACTTGAAAATATAATGGCTTTTCCATAAAGGTATCGTCCGTTATTAAAGAATCATTATTGGGCCTTCCCTGTAAAAAAAAGTCCCTACATAAAACTAAAATAAACTTTCTTTTTTATTTACCCAGGTAAGGCTCACTGAGCTATATAACTATTTTTCAGAAGCGACCTGGCCACAAATAATAGCTCAATGAAGTGGCTTATCAAGTGGAAATTGATAGCAGCCAAACTCTAAATGCATGACCCTAAATTTGGAGGGTAAAACCAGAGGACCTGGAGAAAAATCCATGCGACCATGGGAAGAATATGCAAACTCCACATATATTATCTTAAAATAATGTATACAGTGCCTTAACAAATATACAGGCATCAAGGGTGCCTCGGTGGCGAGATAGTTAACTACGTTGAAATATTTATTTCGAGATAGTTAAATATTTATTTAGTTAACTATCTCGCCACCGAGGCACCCGACATAAGTGGGGCAGTGAGCCCATTATCCCCCCTTTCCCGCAACCCGTAAGCTCTGTGATCGGTCTTCTGCCCACATAAATTCTGTACCCCCCTTCCTTATTCTTGCTCGCGTTCTGTTCCGGGCTGTTGTCTAATAAAATTAACAAAATTATAAATGGATGGCAGTTTGGACCGTGTCGACGAAACATTGGCAACGTTTTCCTTACGCACTTAAAGTAGTTTTTTTATGTCAATGTCAACACTCGAGCAATCTTCAACGGCACGTAACAAAAGTGTTTCCAAATGATCGGAGGCGACACACTAGCGAGCCCCTGGCACTCTCTGGAATGTCGGTTAGATTCGTGCCGCCAACACTGTGGAGGTGGTGGTGGTGGGCCACTGGTATCAGAATTCTCATTCTCAGTACCTGGATCTCGATCATTTGCCACACCGACTTTGAGACATTTTGGCCGGCACTGTGAGCTTCTTGACTCAACGTTGGGGGTCTGTTCGCTGCCAAGCACAGCTGAATCAGCGGCTGTAACTGCCGACACTGCCGACGGTCCTGGGCTGTGGTCTATCTCCATATATATAAAAGGCAAAGTTGTGAATATGTGTGTCTGTTCAAAATGTTTAGCTTACAACCCGACATGCAACAAACTGCAAATTTGCCATGTGGGTACTTTCCAGACTGTACACCATGCAAAAATGAGAAAAATACACTTTTTTGGGGGGGAGATCAATAATGCATATGTTTTTTGCACGGCAAGTGAGCTGTGACGTAACATCTGTCACGTGACCCGCGCATGTGGAAGCGTAATGCATTGTAGTGTAGTGGTTAGCGCGCTGCGCTACGAACCCGGCGACCCGAGTTCGATTCCCGCTCACGGCCACCACCGGTGACGATTATTTGAACCGGTCCTGGGCCTCCCCTAGGTCGACTCAGCCTCAAACGAGTAACTGCTGTGGTGTGTGAACATTGCCACTGGGGAGACAAAGGCGGCCGGGTGTGGTGAATCCAAGTCCCGGGCGATGCCGGGTAGTACAGCTAGTTGGTTTATATGTAGCTCTATATTGGTCTCTATGTACCCGATGGATCTCATGCAACTCTGTGTAACTGCAGTGTCCTGTAACTAACCACTGCAGTCTTGGGCTGTGAACTATGGCTCTCTATGTAACTCTGTGGATCTATATGCAACCCTATGGATCTCTGTGTTACTCTATGGCTCTCTATGCAACTCTGTGCAACTGCAGTGGCCTGTAACTGCCACCACTGCTGACCGTCCTCGTTTGTAGTTGTCCTTGCAACAGAGCTACTGAGCTCATTGGGGCCTCATCAGCTGAAGTAATAAAGCCTGAGTGTGAGGTTTGAGGAGGCTTAGCCACCGTCAGCCAGAGCCACACACCATCCTCCCACCTGTGATTACCACCACTTACTTGCGAAGAGCATGGTGCCCTCCGCCGCCTCTGGGTCAGAGCGGAGGGTGGCCAGGCCATAGTCGGTGATCTTGAGGACAAAGCGACTGTCCACCACGCAGTTGGATGACTTGAGCGCGCCGTGCGAACCGATGACGCTGGCGTGGAGGTAGGCCATGCCCTGCCGGGATGGGAAGAAAGACACAACACACACCGTGCTTGGAGACACGACTTGTAGCGACGCTTGCAAGCGCGCTAGCTGCTACACCACTGCTCTCTCCAAAACTCGTCCATGGTTTTGTAACGTCCAGGCCAAAGAGCTTCCCAATGGCTCAGGAGACAGACAGCTGAGCTGGCACCACAGGGATCCTGATGATGAAACCAGGGTCATCTACAGCAGCGAGCGATTTGAAGTTTTTGGCCCAGTTGCCAGTGACTGGCTACACAAAATAATGTTACATTTGCATTTCCACTTAACTTTGGCTAAAGTCTAGCTGTGAGAATTTAAAGCATCACTGTCTTACTGTCACGCGATGAACATTTCTGCACCTCCGATGAGCACGGTTGGCTACGTATGGTGCAACAGAAGTTCAACATATGGTACATTTTCTTGGTTCTTTCGGTAAAGTCACGTAGAAGGGAAGTAATAAAATAATTAAAATAAAACATAATAAGATAATTCTTCTACGTGACTTTACCAAAAAAACCAAGAAGATGAATCCCTGCAGTCACGAAAGCTTTAAATCGAAATATGGTACATTCTTTCTGAGCCCAGCGACCTGAGACAGATTCCCAGCCATGGCCGGTCGTTAGCAACGAGTGAAATCTCAGGCAACCCTGGGCTGCCCCACTTCACCAAACCGACAATGACCAACATGGTGAAGTATGGCCAAACAACCCCCAACCACCGACACAGCATGGAAAGGCTGAAAATATTGGTTGATAAAGGGTTGAAATTATGAATATTAATTTATTACATCGTTTTACCTCCACCTCTCTAAAATAAATACAAATTCTGATTCTGTTAAATGTTTCGTCATTTAATTTTTACTGATCGATATCATCATTGTCAGCCATGATCAATACACTGCGGGATGAAGGCCTCCCCCAAGCCGGCCATGACCTCTCGTGATCTCATGATGCAACAAACCACCCAGGACCTGCCCGACATGAGAACCGATTGCAAGGCTCCATCTCCTCGGAGCATGTCCTCTCGTGGCTCGTTCTATCCCTGTCCCTTGGCTGCCCCTCCGCTATTATTCTTGACCGTCAGCCGTCGTCCCCTTCTAGCCCACAACACGCATCGCCCAAGCCCCACTCACTTTCCTTAACGGTCTGAATGATATTCTTGGTTCTTTCGGTAAAGTTGGATGCTGCTAATCTTGCATAATGCACGGGCATAAGTAGTACTAATCACATACCTGCATTTCCCATATCCCCTCCCTTGGATGCTGCTAACCTGCATAATGCACGGACATAAATAGTACTAATCACATACCTGCATTTCCCATAAATATGCTAAATTCCTCTTCATATGCAAATTATTTTGTCAAGGCGCCCTTTCCCACCCCCCCTTCCAACCCAGCTTATATATATGCTCCAAGCACGTGTGCTGTTTCATTCAGACGCTGTCGCCTCGACAGACCTGGTTTCACCTGAGGACGGCTGCTGGCGTTGTGGCCGAAACGTCGTGAGAGTTGTTTTGTTATGTTTTATTTTTATTATTTTATTACTTCCCTTCTACGTGACTTTACCGAAAGAACCAAGAAGAAGAAAAAGTCACGTGACTTTACCGAAGGAACCAAGAATATGAACCCCTGCAGTCACGAAAGCTTTAAATCGAAAAAGGTCTGAATGATGTCATTAACCTGCGCGTGTCCTCCAATCCACGCGTCCCTCTCCCTGGCTCCTTGTGTAAGGGGACACCACGGTTGTAAGATGTTAACTACCTCGCCTGGTATCCAGGAGGTCGTGGGCTCGATCCCAACCCTGATGCCTGCTGTATATTTGGAGTTTGTGTGTCTCTTTCTCATCATCATCACGGTTGTAAGATGTTAACTACCTCGCCTGGTATCCAGGAGGTCGTGGGCTCGATCCCAACCCTGATGCCTGCTGTATATTTGGAGTTTGTGTGTCTCTTTCTCATCATCATCACGGTTGTAAGATGTTAACTACCTCGCCTGGTATCCAGGAGGTCGTGGGCTCGATCCCAACCCTGATGCCTGCTGTATATTTGGAGTTTGTGTGTCTCTTTCTCATCATCATCACGGTTGTAAGATGTTAACGACCTCGCCTGGTATCCAGGAGGTCGTGGGCTCGATCCCAACCCTGATGCCTGCTGTATATTTGGAGTTTGTGTGTCTCTCTCCCCGTGGTCACATGGATTTTTTCCAGGTCCCCTCCGGATTTTCCCTCCACATTTAGAAACAACATGTCTTTAAAGTATTTGTCTACTATACATTTCCACACTATGAGCCACTTCGTTGAGCGATCATTTGTGGCCAGGTCGCTTCTGAAAAAGAGCTATCTTTATAGCTCATTGGGCCTTACTTGGTAGAATAAAAAATTGTTTGCTGGAGTTTAGGAATTCCACACGTATCTCTCCCAATCGATCCACTGCTGCGCCCGTCGCAGACAAAAGTCGGAAGCTGCCATTAAATTTAAATCCATTTTACTGAGGGCCGGTGGACCTTAAGCACTCAATAATGTGCCCCTGACAGTGGTATTCACCTTGACGATGTCGTTGATGAGTGAGAAACGAAACATCCAATCCAGGTTTATGCTTTCGTTTTCCAAAATATCCTGAAAAAATAGTTGGTAAAAAAATACATAAAGGTTAAAATGCATTATGAGCTCACGAGTTTAAAAAAATATATATATAAATAAAGAAAAACCAGGTACATGCTTTAATTTTCCTAAATATTTCTTTTTATAATTTACAAGAAGCTTAAAATGCATTCCGAATTGACAATGGAATTTTCTACTTGCATGTATATATAATTGGGATTCATGCACAATGCTTTATTAATTATGATCATATTTACTGCCAAATCCAAGCCAGTCTGCGTTAAGCCACCACCACCACCATGAGGAAGCAATTATATTGTTAAGAGCTCCCATCGTGGACAAATTATATACTGATGCAGGCTGTGCAATTTCATCCCATCATTATGCGACGATCCAGTGTACTGTTACGACTTATGCAATTACTTCCAAACCAGAAGCAGCCCATCATTTGAGACCTCCGGAAAAATGGAGCGTGTCACGTCGTGAACAAATGTGCCCGCCGTTCGAAGGATGCTAACACCGACGACGTAAGTCATTAACTATTTTAAATCGTGCCGGGCCATATGCTGCATGCAACGTCTCAATCGTGCCGGCTTTAGTTTGTTTTGTTCCTAAAAAAGCCAAAATAAAAATGTAAACATAAAGCAAAACAATCAGGTATGTCTAAGATTTTGTCAACAATGTAATCGCTCATGGCACCTGGAGAGAATACTTAGTGGCACTTATTTTATCATTCAATGCAGGTGGCCCATTTTAGTTTGTTTTCACTGCTTAAACGGGCGACGTAGCAATTGCGTTATTCAAGCAGCCAAAATAGAACATGAGTCACATTTTCTTAAGACCACACACTAACGGAGCTCTTTTTTTCAGAGCCCATGTTAATCAATAAAATGTATTACAGAGGAAAACAATTAAATACAAGTATCCATATATTTATATAGAGTACACACACAAGACAAATATTCCCTATGCAAACTCCACAGGACATGAGGGAAAGATGCAAGATGAGGTGGGGTGGCCAGGATGATGCCAGGCCACCTTTGTCTCCCCAGTGCTGAAGTTTACACACCGCTATGTACTCATTTAATCGAACATGGATTGCTGTATATGCAGCGCAGTGCCGATCCCCGCACAACATTTTCACGCAAAATTACACACACATTATAATAGACACATATAATGGAGCTACACGACATCGGACAAAAAACAAAGCAGTCAGCATTGCAGCAAATTAGACTCCAGAGTTTTACCCTGAAGCATGTAGCATCGAAAGCAGCCACTTGATTCATAGCTGTTTATATCGGAGGGAGGGAGCGAAGTGGAGGGAGAGGGTGAGGCCTCTTTCCGGCACGGATGCTCACAGCTTGACACGACTGACCTTCAGGCTGCCTCGGGGACAGTACTCGGTGACGATGCAGATGTTGGGTGGGTCGATGCAGGCTCCCACGAACCTGGTCAGGTGGTCGTTTTGCACGTCCCTCATCTGCACAGACAAGGGGCAGTTTCCACAAATTAAGCAACCTCCCAGGCCAAAATGTCAACAGCCGAACGATACGACGAATACTCAGCACGAAAATGTATTTTCGGTTATGTGTCATCACTGCATAATGATGCGTCGAACTAGAACCCATGACGTAAATCGAGGGTCCTTGCCTTTTAGATCGTCAATTCGCCACCATTGATTCAAACCAGCGTGACTCTGCTAATGATTGAAAACTACTTTTCGTGTTTAGTTTGTTGTCCTTCCCCCACACCTCCGATTATCACGGTTGGCTATGCACGGTGTGAAAGAAGTTCAACATATGGCGAAATCAGCCAAGAGTTGTGTTTATTTGAATGAACGCTGCTGACATTATTTGCCTCCCACAAGGCAATGTCGGCAAGTGCGTTGTGCCAGAAATAATTTTATTTTTTATGTAGAAAGCCGAATCTATGGAGGAGACATGGTCTGCTTATTTACGTTGCAATTTATATTCCCCACAACAGCGCTATTTATTAATTGTTGTTACTAATATTCATAGTGAGTTCTTGCTCAGATGAGCGGCCCTGAGCCAGTGATGGAAATTCTACATCTCTCTGGCGGAGACGAGTCTATCCATAGGACACCCTAAAAGTGGTGCATCTAGAAACTTTCCATTAAATACAGTCCTTACAATGATAACATAGCATTCAATCTACTCTCTCTGGTAAATATAAACTAAATACCAATTTTTGAAGTCTCAATGGTTCACTTCGATCTGTTTATTCAAATTCATGATGTGGGGCTGACTCGATGCGTTTCATCAGGCCACTCATCTGTACCTCCTGCGAGTTCTGTTTGTGCGATTTCGTGGACATATGGCTAACCTATATCTACCCAAAATTAGCGATGGTCTGTGCACTTTGAATTCACTCATACCCAGATATGTGGTTGGACGTGGGATAACATTTTGTGCATTGCATTACTTTCCCAAATTTTACTAAGTTTGTTTTACTAAGTTGGTTTTCTCTGTGTCTCTATGTTGTCTCTCTAGTATTTCCTGCAGTCACGAAAGCTCCAAATCTCTCATTGACATGCTCATTTCTTTACCCCCCCCCCCCCCTCTCTCTGTGCCTCCCTCTCTGTCTATTTAAGACCTCGACACAGAGGCGTTGTTTCTCTGTGTGCCTATTTGTGTGTCTCTCTCTGTGTGGCTCTGTGTTATCTCTCTCTGCTTGTGTGTCTGTCTGTGTGTCTCCGTGTCTGTGTTTTGTCTCGCTCTCAAATTTAGCACTCTTTGGAAGAACGTATTCAACCAGGTAGGGTGTTGACTGTTATGTTACCCGACTATCTGTGTTGTGTTGCATTATATTTCTAAGTTTACTAGTTTTTTTCCTCATTCATTCGTACCTGATGATGATTGCTTGTGTTGCAATCGAAACGTTGTATTCTATTATTTAATGTATTTTCTTTCTTCGTGACTTCACGAGAGCTCCGAATGAACATTGTGTGTTGTATTGTGTCCTTGAGGACGGCTGTTTGCATTGTGGCCGAAACGTCGTGAGAATAATTGTATTATGTTTATTTTTATTATTTTATTATTTCCCTTTTACGTGACTTTACCGAAAGAACCAAGAATATATAGTTTAGTTAAATAAATAATTATTCCTGGCCACTTGCCAAGTGTGTAAGCACGGTTTGTGCCAGACGTTAACTCCCTAGGACGTTTCCCAATGGCGTGTGAACGTCGGCTTGCTCTGAAATCCCTGGGCCCTCTGCCTGCAACACGTTGCTTCTTTCTGCTCCTTCACTGGCACCGCTCAACTTTGGGATTCCCACCCTTCGTCCCTTCCCCCCCCCCCCCACGTTCTTACTATGCAAGTGCGTGTGTTCTTTCACACCGTCCGTAGTCAACTGCACTAACCGGAGATGCGAGTGAAGGACAACAAATTAAACACTAAAAACAACACCAGTGATGATTATCTGAACCGGTCCTGGGCCTCCTCTATGTCCACTCTGCCGCAAATGAGTACCTAGTGTGGTGTGTAAACATCGCCACTGGGGAGACAAAGGCGATCGGGTGTGGTGCTGGCCACCCACCCCCTCGTGTACATTACCGGCCTTCATAGGTGCTCGCTAACAGCACTTGCCCCTACAGTCTGTTAAGGCTATACGGGGGATCTTTGTCTTTGTTGGGAGCGCCAGGTGGCTAAACACAGCAAGTTGGCACAGTAGGTGGCACAGGTGGTGCATCTGCCGGTCATCTCAGTCAGTCCACCCATGGCACCTGGATCTGTCCTGTGACCTCCTGTCAGTGGGCATTCGACACTTCACATGGCCTTAAAGTGCACATAGCCTGGCACAAGCGCCGTGGTGACGTCACAGACATTTAGTGGCGAATGGCAGTTGTTGTTGTGCTGGGAATGGTGCAGGTTGCCCCAACAGTATGTTAAGGCTATACGGGGTATCTTTGTCTTTGTGTTGGACATGGCGCAACGGTTAGCACGCTGCTTCGAACCCGGCGACCCGAGTGTGGACACAAAGACGGCCGTGAGTGGTGCTGGCCACCCACCTACTCATGTGCTGCCATGCTGGCCTTCATAGGTGCTACTCGCAAACAGCACTTGCCTCAAGAGTCTACTGTGGCTATACGGGGGGGGGGGGGGGTAGCTTTGAGCTGTGTGTGCGCACGCCATTCCGTCGTCTGTTACTTACGTGCTTCATCTCAAACAGGACCTGGCGGGTTAGCTCGATGCGTTTCTTTGGCACCCGCTTAATTGCCACAATATTGCCCTGTAAGCAATTCATACACACAGACATAGTCATTTTAAACTTCATAAAATATATATGTAACCGTGTGTGTGTATGTCTGTGTACGCCATATATTATAATAGTAATCATTTATTTCCCTTTGTCAATTACACTACGCCGCTATTCGGGACAACATTACTCAACCCTAGTGGCCCTGTGCTGTGTCAGGAGGCACGTGAGGCAGAGTCACGGCTCACCGGGCCTTCGGGGATGGCTGGGGGGGTGCTGCACCACCATGTGTCCATTGAGCCCCCCACCCAAGTTGACTTCCCGTAGTGGTGAATCACTGTTGCGGTGCCCCCCCCCCACCCCCCCACATGACAGGTCCACTGGCCCCCTCCCCATCCGAGAGGAGCAGGAGCCGGGCTGAGTTGTTCCCACTTTCGTTTATTCTGGGCAAGGTGCTTCATGTCGATATTAACCCTATCCTGTTCCGAGACAACTGCAAGTTTCAGGACAAGTTTCGTTCACTGCTGAACACATCAGCAGTTGGCGTTAATGGTATGTAGAGAGGCGTGGCGCAGCTGTTTTTAAAGACTTTCTACTGTACCCACCGCAGAGAACTGTCGCGACACGACTGCACTCTACCATAGCTAGCTCCAAACTGTGCCACATGCCTCCCACGTGGCCTTGTGGGAGCCTCGGTACTGATAAAGGTATTTTATTTTAATTTTAATTCTAGTTCCGTTCTGATGACGTACATGTACGTACTCATACGGCATTGATGTCTGGTGCTAGGGAAAGAAAGTGCCCCTTTAGGTCATCCCCCTCCAACATGAACCGCTTGGCCACCCGGTTTTCAGTAGAAAGCCTTAACACGTCAGTTTCCAGGTGGTGGAGGGTCTTACGATACACACTTTTAGCCAGATCATTGGCCGTGCGGTGGTAATAGCGCAAATAGATCCATCTTGACATCTGTGCCTAGTGGATGTTGGATGTTTCCCTTCAACTTGATATTCAAGTTTCCATTTTACTTTCGTTTAGCCATGTGGGAACTCGAGAGCAGGATGGTCTCATTTGCAAGAGTGATCCAGGTGACCAAAGGTACAAAAAAATAACGAACCAAATAGAATTCAGAGAAAAAACAACATTGCACAATAAATCAAAACCTTTGCGCTAGTATATATGACAATATTATATGAAATACATTTTCTGAAATAATATTGGCTTGGACAAATAACCTTTAAAAACCATTCATAGTAAAATTAAGTAACTGAAACATCAACATGGATGTGAATGTAAAAATCACTAGTATGGAAACAGACAAGGATATACATTAAACATTTAGTTAATCTGTTGATAAACATTTGACCGTTGGATCTTTATACAGTAAAGTAATACCCCGTGTTGCGTTGGTAATTTATTTCTGAAAGGTGTGATGCCGAATATCGAAACGACGTAAATCAAAGCGATTTACAGGTGGAAGTGCTTGCACAAAGTATAGTAACATCTCATCCTGTGTTCTTGGAATCTAGGTGGAGGTGAAGGTGGAGGTGAAGGTGAAGGTGAAGGTGGAGGTGAAGGTGGAGGTGAAGGTGGAGGTGGAGGCCGAAAGGCGACGGATACGAGAAAGGACGGGCGATGCTGTCAGCCACGAGACTGTGGGTTGAGGCAATGCTCATCAGGTAGTGGTGTTTATAAAGTGACGACCCATTTGTGAAACGACATAAAAGGGGGAGATGTAAATCAAATGTCTTACTTTATTATAATGACACAGGCTGTTCGTGAAGCTATACATTTTTTTTGCTTGACAAAAATATTTTATTTCGATGTTTAACCATGATTTCTCAATTGGGAAACAGGCAGCAATCATCGTCCCCTCCTGCGAAAACCTCGCAGCACCCTCCTGAAAACATTGATTCTTGAGATCACACAGTGGCCACGGAACGTAGTTTAAGGTATTTACTGACGGAATTTGACTTCCAGCTGTTGTTCAGCTATTGAAACGCTACTCTGACCTCTGACCTTTTCTACTCTGGCCTTCATGTCAGAGGTGACATCTCTGTTGTAGAAAATTATACTTCAAGGACAAGAGGCTGTTTCCGGTCTACTCTGCAGCTGTTCCCGATCCAACAAAATGCTTTACTTGGAGACTCGTGTTTTACAGTCATAATTTAGTTATCTATTTAGTTATATATTCACATCAACAGCACAATCCATTTTAACAAAAAATCTAAACTATTTTTATTTTACTAGGTAAGGCCCACTGAGCTATATGGCTCAATTTCACAAACAATAGCTCAACTCCAAATATACAGCACGTGTCAGGGTCGAGATCGAACCCATGACCTCCTGTATACCAGGTGAGGGAGTTAACATCTCGCTACCGCAGCACCAAACGTAAAAGTTAATCATTTGACCGGCACCTTGTAATATGCTGTCTGTACAAAGAATTGTTTCTTTCCCTGCAGGGTCATGAAGGAGTTGTAGCTGGAGCCATGCTGGGAGAGGAGAGAGAGAGAGGGAGACAAACCATAAGCACGAGGTCACATCGTACACGTCAGTACATCGGGGCAATAACCGACGACAACAGCCAAGTTATGTAAAACGACAAAGCACTATCTGGCACGCGACGACTTTTTGCCACAACGGAGAGACATGCAGCCAGGAAAGCGGGGCCTCAGCGTGAGTGAACTACATAAATAGTGGACATTAGCAAAAAAGTGCTGTGTAGCTCAACGGATTCCTCTGGTCTAAATAAAAAATTCTGATTCTGACATCTGAGCTCATTTGTCAGTGAGAATATTTATTTATATTGGAGGAATCCAATGCGCTATGAAGCTCTTTTGCAAAGATGTCCAGTATGTATGTACGTTGAACTTATTTCGTGCCATACGTAGCCAACCGTGCTAATCAGAGGTGTGGGGGAAGGACAACAAAAAATCGCTTCAAGTTATTTCGGAAGTAGTTCTGTGACATCTGCTTTCACGGGTCATTCACCAACGCGGGGGGAGGGGGGGAGGGGTGATGCACGCTTTGTCTTGAGTCGTGACGCAGAGAGCCCTTCAGAATGATAGTGTGCAGGGCAGGAGAAGAGCCTCGGTGCACGTTGCTCAAGGCTCTCACTATCTGCGAGCCGACAGTGGTGCTGTCAGCAAGGCAACAATGCACAGATCAGAATCTAAATCTTGATTTAGACTGGAGCAGGAATTTGATGAGCTATTAAGCTCTTTTTCACAGATGTCCAGTTGGGACAGGTCAAAACATAACAACAAACAATAAAAAACACGATCAGAGTGCAAAGTATAGGAAAGGTAAGAAAATCAAATTTACAAAATATATATAATTAAAACTAAACTATTTTTTTTATCTTATCAGGTAAAGCCCACTAAGTTATTAGATTTTTTTTTTCAGAAGCGACAAATGAAAGCTCAACGAAGTGGCTTATCATGTACGAAGTGGCTTATCATGTGTGTAAATATCACCATGAGGGCGGGTGAACAAGTTACAACAGCAATCAATACAAACAACAACACATCACAAATGAAAGCTCAACGAAGTGGCTTATCATGTACGAAGTGGCTTATCATGTGTGTAAATATCACCATGAGGGCGGGTGAACAAGTCACAACAGCAATCAATACAAACAACAACACATCACAAATGAAAGCTCAACGAAGTGGCTTATCATGTACGAAGTGGCTTATCATGTGTGTAAATATCACCATGAGGGCGGGTGAACAAGTCACAACAGCAATCAATACAAACGACAACACATCACAAATGAAAGCTCAACGAAGTGGCTTATCATGTACGAAGTGGCTTATCATGTGTGTAAATATCACCATGAGGGCGGGTGAACAAGTCACAACAGCAATCAATACAAACGACAACACATCACAAATGAAAGCTCAACGAAGTGGCTTATCATGTACGAAGTGGCTTATCATGTGTGTAAATATCACCATGAGGGCGGGTGAACAAGTCACAACAGCAATCAATACAAACGACAACACATCACACGGCCCGGAGAGGAATTCGTTTGTGATGGGTGACGTGTTGGACTTGTTCTGCGTAGCAGGGAGAGATCGCTCAGCCCCTGGCTACCGAAAGTGTTAAGGAGCCCTCCCATTATGGATGGACAGGGCTGATGTGTAGACACTTTCAACACTTTGTTGGAAAATTGTCATTAAAATATTTGGAAAAAGGACGATAATAATCGTTAATCTTTGCATTTATATGGCATTGCTTAAAATGCCTCAGCAAACTCAAAAGCACATCTCATCTCAAACGTTCTAAGGGCACCCCTAGTGGCAGCTGCCCCTGTGCGGCACATGGTGACTTGGCGGCTGGCCTGCGAGCGGGCGTGAGTCGGCTATTGGAGGGTGATGATTGCAGCTATCACCCACGAGTCATTTTTGTGAATTTGTGCAACATTTTGGACCGCACACAATGGCCTCCTACCCGCTTCAAACAACGTCATGGAATCTTTAACGTTCCATTGAGAGCGAAGCTGATGGCGCGTAGTTTCCCCGCTTCATACACACGACCGCAGTATTAACCAGGGCAGCCTGCCGAATCGGAACTGCAAACCTCTGCAGAAAGCGGCGAACGCGCTAAGGTCGGGCCGTGTCACCACCCCCCGCCGATGGCGGTGACGGTTGCGGCGGTGATGGTGGCAGTGACAGTGGTGCTCACCATGGAGAGCGTGAGTCGACTGCCGGCCGTGCGCCTGCTCTTCTCGAGCTTGCTGAAGTGGATGTCCTCCCACTGAAGCCGCCACAGCATGCTCGCCAGCTCCTTCTCCACCTTCAGCTTCCTGGCAAAGCGACGTCGCAAAGCACAATTGACATTCAACTCCTGCAGAGGCTCTCGAAAACGAATTGAGTCTCGACAGATGCTTCGCTTCCAACTGAATCTAAAATGACAGGCGGTTTCCCGCTGTTTACGACGTGGCAATGCGTTCCCGGAAACTTGGTAGATGTAAATCGGACCCCATTTTCCCATTGACGAAGAAACAGTAGAGACATCACTTGCCGATGTTTTCCCATTTATCGACCATATTTAACAAGGCTCAATAGAAGAATTCCCTCATCAAAACTCGACACCATAGAGCTCGTTGTATTTCCCACCATCACCACCTAGCCAGTGAACTGGAGCACGTACACCAAGCCCTCAAGATGAATGGATACTTGAACTACACAATCGGTAAAGCTATCACCCCAACCGTTGGGAAAGAACCATCTGAGGACCAAATCTAAACCATCACCTTGCGATACATAGCAGGAGTTACCAAAAATATTTCCAAAATCATGAGCAAACACAAGATCCAGGTTCGATTTAACACAGTACGTAAAATTCGTGATCTGATCCCATCTGTGAAGGATGTGATCCCTGACATGCAATACCCCGGTGTCTACAAACTCAGCTGTGTCTGCGGCAGTAGTTACATTGGGGAAACTAAGCGACGTGTCTCGGACCTTGTTCGTGAACATAAGGTAGATCTGAAACACGGCAGGACCAATACCTCGACCGTGGCTGATCATTGTTTTAATGCTGTGGGCTCACACAAAATAGATTTTTCCAAGACGAAGGTACTATGCAAACCCACTGACTATCATCAAAGATTTGTTCATGAAGCCATCCAGATATATAAACACAGACACAATTTCAACCGAGAAGATGGGTACAAACTGAGCAATCATTGGAAGGATGTTATTAATCAGTTTAAGTCATAACTGGCTGTGATGTTTCCATCCTTCCTGCTGATGTTAGCAGTTATTTCCGACTCTCTGAGTTACATTACCAGGTTAAATGTCTTTACATTAACAGGCTAAATGTCTCATTAACACAGCCACCGTTGCGGTGGTTTTCTTACATTGACATGCTAATCTTACATGAACAGATTGACATGCTAATCTCTCACAATACAATGGCCACCTTCACAGGTTCGTAGTCGTGGAGGTATATCCGCTCTCCGATCTTACATTTACATTTAAATTCCATCTCTAGCCACACCCACGTACCCTTGGGCTACACCCATCTCAAACCTATATAACATCCTGCCTTAGCAGCTCTCCCGCTATATTTTTTCACCTGATGACGATTGCTTGTGTTGCGATCGAAACGTCGTGATATTTTAATGTTTTTTATTATTATTTTTCTATCTACGTGGCATTACCAACAGACCCAAAGAATATGAAATCCTGCAGTCACGAAAGCTTTAAGTCAAGATTTAAGGCTCAATAGGTATACATCATCTAAAAACACTCTAGAATAACAAAGCTCCATGCCAAGTCATGTCAGAAACCAGACCGACTGTTCAAATGCATTCGGAGTCATGTTGAAAGGTGCGTCGTAAATCAAGTTTCTGCGTTGATAATCGACCCATGGTGGCAATTATATAAATGTCGTAAATGTGGATTGTCGTAAGTCAAACTGTTCTAAACCAGAGACCGCCTGTAGTTGCTTATAAGGAGTCAAACAAATGTAAGAAGAAGAAGATGATGATTCAGAAAATTATATATTTTGATAATAAATTAAAATGACCAAGCTCAACCCTGCTCGGCTTGCCAGGATGCTATAATATCGGCAGCACTCACCGGTAAATCAGGAAGAATGTCGCAAGCACCACCAGCACCAGGAGGCTCACCACAATCAGCAGCTGCTGCACCATGGTTATGACTGCAAGGGAGGGAGATGGGCCACCTCAATAAAACGCAGCACAAACACAAGACTCCAATGGCTCAATCCCCACCAAGCGAGGGCATTCTTCTCATTGTTGACGTACTACTGGAGGGCACAAAACTAGCGGCACAATAGGATTAATTTGTGTCAGCGCAGTAAGATTCGTAAACGAACCCTACACTTCGGTCCTTGGGAGAATGTTAAAGTTTTGTGACTCCACTTCTGAGCGAAGGCCTCCCCCGCGAGCCACGTCAGTCACTGGGGGGCTGTGTGACTTTACTTCACCATGCTGGTCATTACAGGTTAGTGAAAGTGGTGTGTGTGGGGGGGGGGGCAAGTCCATCTCTTCAGGAACGCTGTCGACGGAGAGCTGAGTTACAAAAAAAAGAAACTAAAAATGTTGACCAGGTGAGGCCCACTGAGCTTCATAACTATTTTTCAGAAGTGACCTGGCCACTTTTGATAGCCCAACGAAGTGGCTCATTATGTTGAAATTTGATTGCAGCCAAATACTCTGAAACACATGTTTCTAAATGTGGAGGGAAAAACCGGAGGACCTGGAGAAAAATCCAAGCGACCACGGGGAGAACATGCAAACTACAAATATACAGACGTCAGGGTCGGGATCGAACGCACGACCTCCTGTATACCAAGCGAGGTAGTTAACATCTCACCAACGTGGCGCCCAATCTGATGGCTGGCATAGTCAGGGCTACCACCCTTCCGACTGTAGACCAAACCTGGACGTCATATTTCTCAGTCGACACTAGGCTGATGAAAACTGTCCAGTGTCCTGTCATGAAGTTCGACACAAAAACGGTCCAGGATCTCAGTGCAAATCAATTATTGCCACCTAGACACAGACGCCAATTCCCAAACTGTCGAGATTACAACGGGCATCTAACAAACAGGTCACACTTTTTGGATTAAAACGTGAAAAACACAATGTCTGCTCATAGGCCATCATCTAGAGGACTACCATGCAGTTCTCCAGGAAGTACTGATGGTTTTCTGCTTAATGCACAAAGGCCGAGTGATTCGTGTGCACATTTCTTCCGTGCTGTTTGATTATAATCAGAGTCAAAATATTGACACTGGAGGAATCCGATGAGCTATAAAGCTCTTTTTGTCCAGTAGGGACAGGTCAGAACCTTACAACAATACAAAAACACGATTTGAGTTAAAAGTATAGGAAAGGTAAAACAATTACTTTCAAATATACAAATAAAACTAAACAATTTTTGTTATCTTACAAAGGAAAGCCACTGAGCAAATGGCTTATTTTTCAGACACGACCTGGCCACAAACGATAGCTCAACGAAGTGGCTTGTCATGTGGAAATTTATAGCAGCAAAATAATCGTGACGGTTTAGTGGCCTGCACCATTACTCCATTACAACGGGGTATGGAGAGGGCGGGGATTATTCTTCATTGTCTACTTATCTGACTTGAGCCCTTCGCAGTACAGAGTCTGGGAGAAAGGTGCCACCTTTGTTGTCGGGCAGCAAGTCGGAGGGGACGTAGCCCCCGGGCCAGTGGATGAGGACACCAGGCATGGGCACCATCTCCTGCCTGCTGCCATCGTAGTTGTAGACGATCTGCCCGTGATCGAGACAGCAGCAGCAGCAGGGAGCAGCAGGCATCAGCAGGAGCAATGAGACACAATAGCCAAACAACCCAAAGAGAGTTCCTGCTCAAATGAGCACTGAGGCAATAATGGTGCTAATTTCCCGTTCACAGCCCCTGAGCTGGTGATGTGATGGAAATTCCACGGTGCTATGGCAAGGGTGAGTCGTCCAAAGAACAGCCGCTGTTGACTCCCCCCCCCCCCCCCCCCCCAAGTTAGAAGTTTATTTCCACAGCAAAGCCCGTTGAACTGAACAAAGCTCTTTCAAGGGCCACTTGGTCAGCAGACAATCGCGGGCGGTGGGATTAATTGTATCGACCATAGAGAGAGTGGATGAGGAGCTGAATCAACTTTCCGACCAGGAGTTTAACTCACAACGGTTCGACTGCGAGCTGTCCACTCTGCCACTGAGCCACCCGCTTTTGTGGTCACGAGGAGTGGGTTTTTTGAGGAGGGGATCACGTCCAAGTGGATGTTCGCCGTGGAGATGGAGCGATAAAATAAACTCGCTTGCAGGAGCTACATATGGATTGTTGGATTGCGGTACCTTAAGGTACTGCAGTGACGGGATGGTCAGGTCTTCATCTAGCAGTGGATTGATCATGACTGATGACGATGGGGTCTTTTTTACTTGACCTCTTTTGCTTGGTTGATGTTTTTTACTGGTTATTTGTGTGCATGTGAATGTATTGAACCCAGTCAACCGAGTTCGATTCCCGCTCATGGCCACCAACACCAGTGACGATTATCTGAACCGGTCCTGGGCCTCCCCAAAGTCGACTCAGCTTCCACTGAGTACCTGGAGCAATGTGTAGTAATCATCGTCATGAGGGAGACGAAGGCGGCTGGGCGTGGTTCTGGCAACTGACCCCCTCCTGTGCTATGGCGGCCTTCGTAGGTGCTACCCGCAAACAGCACTTGCCCCAAAAGTTTGTGAAAGGCTACATGGGGGGTCTTTGTCTTTGTGAAGTATTGGAAATGACGGCAGGAACTTCTTGACGGGTAACACACTTTTATTAAATCTTGACGTGTCACAAAACAACGTGTGGTCTCTATTCTTTGTACTATACACTCCACTTAACTCGTGTAGACTCTATGCGTCTGGCTACACACAATACACTTGACTCGTGTAGACCCTATGCCTCTGGCTACACACAATACACTTGACTCGTGTAGACCCTATGCCTCTGGCTACACACAATACACTTGACTCGTGTAGACCCTATGCCTCTGGCTACACACAATGCATTCGGCTCGTGTAGACCCTATGCCTATGGCTACACACAATACACTCGCCTCTGGGTTACACAGAGTCCCGGTCCCGTTAGGACAGCGGGACTAGGTACCGCAGGGCCCTATCTCTTCGATCCCCGTCTTCATTCTTCGCTGGTTACATACTGCCCTTACGCCTGTGTGCATCCCCTTTTATAGCCCCTGCTCACGGGAGACGGAGCTGATGCGGACGTCTACGTGAGCATCGCTCCTTAGTTAACCAATCACGACGCGCTCTCTCTACGATCCGTTTTTCCCCAGCGCGTGTTAACACTACTCCACCAATCACACCGCGCTGTCACCTGATCACTCCCTCTCAGCGCGTCACCGGCACACAGCCAATCAGCACCCCGTAACCCACGACCCCGCGCTGACCCCTGATCCTCCACCGTCAGCGCGCGTCACCACATACACAGCCAATCATTACGCGCTGGCATACGATCCCTAATCCCAGCGCGTATCACCACTACATCACCCCCTCCCACATAGCTTGCAGCCGGCCCGGCTGTTAACCAACAACACAACCCAACGTCAACGCAATAATAAAAAAAATAACCCCACCCCCCAGTGTGCCCCGTAACGCAACAACGACAACACAACAACAACACTTAAATAAGAAGCAATATACAGCCCGACGAACAACACAATAAAAGCGAACTCCAGAAACCGAACGCGCCAAGTGTCTCTGTGACTAAACGCAGTGACGAGGCGCTCTGGCTGCCTCGACTCCTCACGTGGTAGGTCATAAAAAGTAGCGCGACCTAGCGCGAGTCCGTCTGGCCGGTCCGTCGTATGGGACGGGACGCTGGCGACCGTCCGGTGGCTCCGGCAGCTCTAGACGGCGCGGATCGGGCCTGGAAGGACCGGCCCCGCCGCGAAGATCCGGCCGCCGATGGTCGGCAGCTGTCAGTTCCGAGACACCTGGGAGCGGATCAGGCGGAGACATGTGAGGATCAGGCAAAGACATTTCCCCCTTAGGGTCGTCGGTCACGTCACATGCTCGGCCCTCACGACACAAGGGGAGGCCATGTGGAGGCGAGAACGGTTTCAGTCGGGAGGGGTGGACGTACCAACGGCGTTTTCCCCATTTTATCTGAACGCACTGGGGGCGTGCAACCCGCACGACCTCCACGGGTCCCCGCCATGGCTTCAACAATTTAGGCGACGTAGCCAAAGGTGCCTGAGGGCAATGCAGCCAGGCCCTGTCACCTGGTTCCCAGTTGTGCACGGACACCTTTCGTGCACGCAACCGCTCGTTTGCAATTTGGCGAGCCCGCGAATTAATCCGTGCGGCCTCCCTCGCCTCTGTCAGCTTATGAATATTAAATTTAATATGCTCTGCCAATTTTGAATTAGTTCGTGGTGCGGGCAGGCCCAGCTGCGTTTCCATGGGCGGGTCGGCCTCCCGACCGTACATCAGATAGAACGGGGAAAATCCCGTAGCTGCATGGGGGGCCATTCTATACGCGGCGAGGACCCCAGGGACCTGCAGGTCCCAATCAACATGTGCCTCACACACTTGCTGGCACAGCATAGAAGTCAATGTCCTGTGGAGTCTCTCCACCATCCCGTCCGTCTGCGGGTGGTACGGGGAGGTACGCACCTTCTTAGTACCCAACAGGTCGCACACCTCTTGCAGTAATTTACTCGAAAAATTTTTCCCTTGGTCGGTCAGCAAGCGTTCGGGAGCCCCCTTGTCCAGGACGTAGCCCTGGACAAAGGCGTCCGTCACAGCCGCCGCCGACTGGTTGGCGAGTGGCCACGCCATAGGCCACCGGGTAAAATATTCGACCCCCACCAACAGGTACTTATTACCTCTAGGCATGACTGGAAAAGGCCCCCGAATATCGAGTGCAACGAGCTCGTTAGTGCGCGAGACCTGAATAGATTGCAGCGGTGGATTAGCTGCCACAGGCGGTGGTTTCCGTCTGGCGCACTCAACACAACCCTTCAGAATATTCACCACGTCACTCCCCATTCCCGGCCAATAATAGTCACGCTGAAGCAGGGCAAGCGTTTTGTTAACTCCCAAATGCAAGAGGCGTTCGTGTGCGGCCAAGACAACTTTCCCCCTCACAGCAGAAGGCACCACAATCGCGTGCCGCCGGGACAAACTGTCCCATCTCATTAACAGGCCTTGCTTAAGTACGTAGGAGCCAGTTCGTTCATGGTCACCTTCGGAACCCCCCGTCCTGTGGCGCAATGCTAGCAGGGAGCTGTCCGCCATTTGGAGATGGCCCCACTCAATCAGCGACAATGAGAGCAGCGAGTCCTGACCCCCTGGGGTAGCAGGAACATCCCCAATTGGTGTGCCCGTGGTCGCAACCAACGCCCCCATACCTTCCGTAACTGGCGGTTTACAGCGCGCCGATCCCGATAAGCACACACATTTGTGACAAGGCAACAATCGCGACAGAGCATCGGCATTTGTATGTCGCAACCCCTTCCGGTATGTAGTCGTGAACTGATAGTCCTGGAGGACTTCCAACCACCGTGACAATTGGCCCGAGGGCTGGGCGACCCGCAATGAATACTGGAGCGCCGCATGGTCCGTCCGGACCGTAAAGTGACGACCATAGAGATATGGTCTGAATTGTTGTACGAAAAAAACAATGGCAAGCAGCTCGCGACGGGTGACGCAGTAGCGCTGCTCTGCCGGCGACAACACCCTGCTACCATAGGCGACCACCCGTTCGACCCCCCCAACGACTTGGGACAGCACCCCCCCAATGCCCGTGTTGCTAGCATCCGTGTCTAGCATGAAGGGACTCGCAAAGTCAGGATAGCGCAAGGGTGGGGCACCTACCAAGGCGTCCCGGAGGGAGCAGAATGCAGCCTCCTCCTCCGGTCCCCATCGGAATTTCACTCCTTTCGCCGTTAGAGCGTGCAAGGGTTTTGCAATGGTGGCGAAGTGCTCAACGAATCGGCGATAATAAGAAGCAAAACCGATGAAACTGCGCACGTCCGAAACTGACGTGGGCGTCGGCCATGAACTGACACAGTCCGTCTTCGCAGGATCGGTAGAAATCCCCGAAGAGTCGACAATGTGACCCAAGTATCTAACGGGTTTACGAAAAAGGTGGCATTTGGCCGGTTTAAACTTTAATTTAGCCGATCGCATTCGCAAGAACACCCCTCTCAATCGCTGGAGGTGTTCTTCAAACGTTTTACTGAAAACAATGACATCGTCAAGGTAAATCAGGCACGTATCCCATTGCAAGCCCGACAAAACCAACTCCATAAGGCGCTGAAATGTCGCAGGAGAGGAGTGAAGTCCCATGGGTAACCGGTTAAACTGAAACAGGCCCCCTGGAGTCCGAAATGCAGTCTTAGGTTTAGACTCTTCGTCGAGTGGCAACTGCCAGAATCCAGATAATAAATCAAGAGTCGAAAAGTATCGCGCACCAGACAATGCATCGAGGGACTCGTCCATCCTGGGGAGCGGATACGCGTCGGCCACAGAGATCTTATTCAGGCGACGGAAATCGACGCAAAATCGCAAGGACCCGTCCTGCTTTTTAACGAGCACAATAGGTGCTCCCCAAGGACTGGAAGAAGGCGAAATAATGTCGGCTTCTAGCATATCGTTAACGGCCGACTGAACATGTTCCTTCTCAGCAGGACTCAGTCGGAAGGGATTTAGCCTGACCGGTGCCGCATCGCCCATTTCAATGTGGTGGCGTAACAGGTCCGTGCAGC